TGGCCACCCCAGTCGCCCTGATTGCCTTGATCACCGTAGTCACGTCTGCCGCCACCACCACGTTGGCCACCCCAGTCACCTTGATTGCCTTGATTGCCGTAGTCGCGTCTGCCACCAACACCACGTTGGCCACCCCAGTCACCTTGATTACTTTGATTGGCATAGCTGCGCTGACCCTGGCAGTCCCCCCTCTGACTGTCATTGCCCCACTGGCCGCGCTGGAACATACAATGTGTGCCGCAGATAGCTCTTACATGCATATGACACCCCCATGGCGTCGCCTTTGATACCCATTGTCGCATCACTGCTGAGCGTCACGTCGTCTGATTGAATTCTTCAATGCTGCTATTCCTTCACGTTCACCCTTTTCAAAAACCCAAAAATGGAGCGAAGTAGTCGTGGGCATCACCCTCTGAATAATACAATACAAGAAAAAACCATTGAGCGCTGGGTTCCTCATGCAAAACCCTGTATCACCGCAACTGGACACAATACGTAGAAGCAATGAAAACTGTATGTATATTCTCCGGTGACTATCGGTCTGGATAACCCCAGCGCCTATTGGATAAAGAATTCACCTTATACACCGGTTCTGTCGAATACCATACTTTTTCATACATTTTTTGTCTCCTGTTTGTCGCTTCCCTCAGATCCTGCGGGTCTCTCCTCAGTGGCATCCCCTGAAGGGGCATTAGAATTGCCCCTATCTACTTTAATGGAACCCAGGTAACGTTTGTGAAATTCAATACGGTCAATGTCGGTGGTGGGGCGTTCCTTTAGCAAGGCCAGAATCCACTCATTTAGAAAATCACAGACGTTTTTCTCTCGCATATACCGGTTATCCTCTACGTTCTTCGGATGAAACTCGCTGTCTGTCGTGACCTCTTTTCCATCCCCAATCTTTTGGACAAGCTCTAAACAGAAGACTGCAAGGTCTATAGGGTGTTCACGGAGAATGGAGCTGGACATCAACTCAAAGAAATCGACTGTATTTCCCTGACGCAAGTAATCTTTTGCCTCGTCCAAAGACTGCTCATTTTTTGCCCACTCTGGTGCACTCATCTTTGCTACGGGGTGTGATGTTAATATTTCCCTCACAGTGAAACCCCAAGAAAGAAGAGAGAAAAAAAAGAACGAGGCATATAGGGAAAATGAAGAAAGCGACATGGAAGGCGGAATTATCCCTAACAAGCAGTTGCGAGAGAAAAAAAGGATGAATAAAGAGGGAGGGTATTTTGTCTTTCCCTCCACATTCACCTTCTTGATTGGAAAGAATCATTGTTTCTGCCGAGGTGCATGCTTTCCCTCCCCTTTTCTTCCACTATTCCTTCACCCCACACCACTATCAACACACCCAAGAGTGCAGAAGCATGAAATAAATAGCGTTCTAGAAAATAGGAAGAGATGTAACAAACATCACCGAGGTCTGTCCTGTTCACCGCCGCGCCCTCTTCCACGGCTATTATTGCGTGGATTGACGCGCCTCTTACCGCCACGTCCACCCCCACGTCCTGGTGATTCACAGGGTTGCCGCTGCCTTTCGTTATGTTGTCTTGTAAGCTCCGCCTGCTGCCAATTAAGTTGGCCGAGTTGGCGATTCCCATGGCACGTACTTGGGTCCGGGTCATCCCACAAGTCCTCTGCGGATAGCGGGCGAGATGAATCATTTTCGCGTCGTTGTGTCCGGTTGATGTATGGATCCACATGGTGTGCCACCCCGCCTTGTCCCTCACCCTGGGATTCAAACTGGTTAGGGCGTCGTTCATAGCCAGTATTGCCTCCACGACGCCGATTGCGCCGTCGTCGGCTTGCTCCGTCGTTCTTGTGTTTACTGTCTTCTCTCTCTTGGTGTTCTTGACCGCCCCGTTGATTTCGCTGCTGACGCCCTTCATGTTGACTGAACTCTTGCGGGACGGCGTAGTAGTGTGGCACATCCCTGTCACCCTGCATGGGCGGGCTTAGCAGCATCGCGTTATCGGTACGGGTGACGCCTCCAGGCCCGGGTGTTTGCGACATGGGCACAGGTGAAGACACTGGCGGTGAAAACATCCGTGCCTGAGGGCTGCCTGATATTTTACGAAATAGGATTTTGGAAAGATGAACAGCCTCACCATATACACGTTGGGCTGGCGAATAGGTATTGGCAATTACTTGGAGAACGTCTTCAATGCCTTCATTGATAATTGCTTCAGCAGCTTGTGCGTTTTCCCAGCAGAGGTACGTGAGAGCCTTTATTCCATGCACAAGGAGCTTGTCGGTGGTAATGTGTGTGCGCATGGCATTAACAATTAGTGGTATGGCACCTGATTCTGAGAGCAACTGGCGGTTGTTCTCAGAATTAAATGCAAATTGAGATATGGCACGACATGTAGACTTCTGTAGGAGCGGACTGTTGTGGTGTACACGCATAGCCTTCAGGATTTCTGGTATGGCCACAACAGCAACCTTCTCTTTTATCTCTGCATTCCACGCCAACGTGCCGAGAACAGAACAGCCCAACTCCAGCATACGTAGCCGCTCAAAGTTTTCCATGGCACGGATAACGCATGCAACGCCACCAAGGTCATAAATTTGTTGTTGCGCCACAGTGTTGTCAAACGCCAATGCACTGAGACCACCACATGCGTTTAACTGTACCTTCGGGGCGTTCACATAGGTTTTCATGGCTAGGAGGAGGGCTTCCACACCCTTAAGCTCAGTCACAGCCTTGTTGAGCTTTGCGTGCTCGTATGCGAGGTGTGCCAAGGCGTTACATGCCTCTTGCTGAACCACTTGATTACTACGAAAATTCCGCATTGCCGCCACAACGCACTCCACGCAATTAAGCTCATATAATTTGTCCTTGTATGTAGGTGAAACCAATGAAAGCGTGACGATGGCACGGCACGCCTCTTCCTGGACCTCACTTACTTGATCATGTCGTCGCATAGCGGCAACGATTTGTTCCAGCGCTGGAGTAAGTTCCTCTGAAGGGACTGTACCGATGTTTGCAAGCGCGCGTGATGCATGTTCCTGTACCTCGTAGTTGTGTACGTGGTTACGCATAGCGTCAACAATAACACTGTAACCATTGTTCGAAGTAATTTGCGCGGAATTCGCCTCATTGTTCCACGAGAGATACGAAAGTGCCACACAGCCGTGCATTTGCACTCGGTCATAGTTAGGGTGCTGTGCCATACCTTTTATTATAAGTGGAATCACCCCGCTTGCACTCATCTCCTCTCGGTACGCATCACAGTTGAAGGCAACTTGTGCCAAAGCGCGACACGCATTTTTCACGAGCCCTGGACTTGTGTAATGCTCTCTCAAGGCATTCATAATCATTTCCACACCGCCTAGCCGCACAACGTCAGTCTTCAAATCACTGTTCCAGCACATGGTACCAATGGCCAAGCATCCATTCTCTTGTAATCGTGCACTTTTTCCGCGCCGCATGGCATCCAAAATTTGTGCCACGCCTTTCTCATCAATAATAACCTGCTGTCCCTGTAGATTGTTGAAAGTCAGACCACTGAGTGCTGCGCATGCAGAAACAAGCAAATCTTCATTATTGGGAAAGTTTTTCATTGCCTCAAGTACCAAGAGAATCCCATTGGCCTCTGTTATCTTTGACGTTATCGTTTCAGAGTCAAAGGAGAGGTATGAAAGCAGGCTGCATGCATTTTCTTGAATGGCTGCATTGTGAGGGTACTTGCGCAATATATCCAGTACGCGCTGCACACAACCTGTTGCATGAATCTGTTGCTTTTGTGCCTTCACATTAATTGCGACGCTGCAGAGGAAATGAACCGCTTCCAATGTCGTTGCCTCGGATTCCGTAGTTTTGACTACTGTCGTTATAACATTCCAGTCAATGTACGGCGAGGTTGGGAAGTTACTAAAAACGTGTAAAGCGTGACTGCACAACAAATCAGAATCCGAGTAGCGTCCCAGTGCCTCTGCAAGGTATGAAATTACTTTTGAGTCGGGTTCTAGGTAACTGGGAACACCAGAACTCGTCACATTTGCGGCGATTCGAGCAACATACCTTGTGGTCTCCTCATCACCGATTTGTTCTCGCAAAACACACTCGAGAACCTCCACACCATTTGCTTCAAGAAACTCTTTGTTAGCGGTAGCGAAGCGGTCTGGTACCTCTGCCACGTAAGATGTGAACTCAGCGAGGGCGCGGCAAGCCATTTTACAGACCAGTGGATCCGTGGTATGAATCTGGAGCACCCGAGCAAGTTGAGTGATACCATCGCCGATGGGGTACAAATTGAAGTGAGACACCAAAGCGCATGCAGCCAGAACAAGCTTGTATTTTTGTGGATTCTCTCTTAACGCCCGCACGGCTATAGATGGCACATCGAACTCAGAAAAAAGTGAAACGGTGATTTCGTCTGTGCAGTAATAATGCACAAGGGCGCAGATCCACTGAATGGCTTCAACCCATGTTGGGTGTTCCTTTGCAAACTCCGCCAAAGTTTCAACCACACCGTCAGCCTCATCTGGGGGCAAACAAGCCGAAACGCACGTTTGCAGGAGGTAACTCATTGTTTGGGCTGAGCTTGCCTCGGTTGAAGTTGGGAGGCGTTTCAAAAGTAGGGCGATGCGGTCCTCCGCATTTGGTGCCTGTGCGCATAGGATGGTAAACTCTGGTGAGGTGGTACAATTTTGGCTGTGCTTTTGTCGCGGATTACCCGAAATCACTTGAATGAAAAGGTCGCCCATGACTCTTCAGAATTTGTCAGGTGCGCACTATTTCCTCAGTGTGTGGGGTGTTGAGACAGGTCTACGGCCTAAATGAAACTGTGATCGTTGATGTATTGTTGGTTTATAATAAACACTTTCTCTCGTAAAACACCATTAAAGCAAAATACGCACAACAAGAGTGAGAAACAGAAGGAAAGTAAAAAAAAAAAAAAGAAAAAAAGGGGAAGGGGAAGGGGGGAAGAAAGAAAAACGAAGCAATGCAACTGCAGGTTCAGCACAGGTGATCCCACCACTCATACGAAGAAAAACCAAACGTTTTGGAAAGGAAACAGCAAAAGGAAAAGATGGAGGAATCAAGAAGAAACTTTTGATCAAGAATCGATGATGTGTAATGGAGGCAGTTCAGCCACCTCTTTGGGTAAGGGAAGGGACCCAAGAGGAAATATGTCTTGTGGTGACGCTTTATGGTCAGTGAAGACACTTCGCATCCTCTTGAGGCATGACACTGCAGTAAAACGTGAGCATTCAGTTGCAGAAGATCTGCCATTGTGAACAACATCATCAAGGAACGCATCCCACGAGCCGCAACGATCATTCACGTCAATAATCCCTCCGTGCGCCAGTAGGACGCAACGGGTGGGCAAGCCCCGAAGACGGTGGAGGCTGTAATTATACGCCCTAGGGGAGTCGATTGGAACGGGAGGGAAAAATCCCTTTCTTATCCCCACAAACATGTCCGCTGCGTAAAAAATCTGTGTGTATGGATGATAAAGACAAATCATGTGAGACGTGTGGCCAGGACACTTAATTCCCACCCAGTCGTTGAACCCCGAGGGGAGGGGTGTTCCGTCGTCTAAGCGCAATGGTCCCGTAGGCATTTGCCAGTAGGGACCTAATAAACCATTAGAGAATACAAACGGGTTCTCGTACTTGTCCCTCCCCAAACGACCGGCCATAAATTGCGTCAAACATGTCTCAACAAGTTGCTTGGTATGACCCCTCGGGTTATGGTAACTTTCTTCCATTCCTCTTGCATAGGCAACTGGAATCCCACACTGCTCGTAGCCCTTAGATGCTCCAGCGTGGTCAATGTGGGAATGTGTAGCCACAACTAATCGGAGACGCTCTACCATCCTTTTTGGGGCGGACTTGCCGTCGGACAGCACCTCCTCAATATAAAACCGTACACGCTCCAAATCGCTAGGAAACCCGCTATCTAAGAGAAGTATCTCTTCACGTTCGGGGTACTCCACAAGATATAGGGCAGAGATGTACCCTGGTATACAGTGAATCTTCATTGGTTCACTACCAAGCGTGCGTGTCAGCACAAAACTAGCAGACACATCCTTGCCCGAGCCGCGGAATCGAGCTGGTGAGCCTATATACCTGAAAAGCAGCCCCAAGCAAGGTCGCATGTCCACCTAGAATCAAAGGCAAAGGAAAACAAGACAATAGAAAACAAATAATAATACTACACGCAACTAGGATGAAGCATTTAGTCATAGCGGTGACAACAGAAAGCGTTCGAAAACAAACAAGTAATGTCTTATTTCTCCTCCCCAGACGCCAAGACATCCTAGGAAAATTGCAAAACTCATCGCATCCCCGTATTTGGATCCCATCTTTACTAATCATTCCGTAGAGAACAATATTTTTTTTCGTGCTTGTAAAATAAACCAAAAAAAAATTTTCCGCTTCACCATGAAAATCAATAGAGTTTCAGCATTGCCTAACACTTAAAACTTACTTAGCGTCTGCACAATGCAGGGAGATTCCTCAACAAGCAAATCCTTCGCAAGGCTTTGTGCAACCTCCTTCTTTGTAAGAGCAGCAACTATGGCGAGAGCGAACGCAAAGGCTGTCCCGGGACCCTTACTCGTCAGGCATTTGCCGCAGCGAACAACAGCATCGGCGGACCACTGTGCATGCGGAGGAACCTTGTCCTTCAATGCGGGGTAGCATGTGACCGCGGCCACACCCTCCAGCATACCCATAGGGGCCAGCGACACGACCGGGGCGGCGCAGATGGCACCGTACCACTTGTCCTGCGCGCGAATGTCCTCTAGTATCTTCTTCAGTGCGGCACACTTGCCGAGGTGGTCTGCACCAGGGAGTCCGCCAGGAAGAAACACGCCATCGTACGCGGCGGCCGACTCGTTCTTAATAAGCGAGTCAGCGGTTAACTTCAGGCCCCTGGAGAGAACAACATTTAGGCTGTCCATCACAGATGTGACCGTCACCTGGATTTCTGCACGGCACAGAATGTCGGTGATGCAAGACAATTCAATGTCCTCCGTGCCATCGGCCACAGGAACAAGCACCCTCTTGGTCATATTTCTGTTTATTTGGTATACTCTTTTGACGGTTGTAGAATTAATAATAGCTTTCTTTTTGCGTTTTTAACAGACAGACGCACAAAAAAAAAAGGCAAATAAAAAAATATATAGAAGAGAGGAAGAGTGGCAGACGAAAACAAAGGCACCAGCGCCTCGCGAAACCCGACGCGATCCTAGTTTGTTTTTCATCTTGTGAGATCAAGGTGCGGCCGCTTCACGCTTGGCCGAAAGTACAACAGAGATGTTTCCCCCTACAGGGAGTGCACAAACACAAAACACCGGGTCATCTGCGGAGTTCGATTCAAGAGGCAACAGATGCCCCAAAATATGCACCAAATCACCAGGCTTGACGTGCTTCTCCGAAAACGATGCCAGGGTGGCGCCATAGCAACGCACTTGCACTTTGACCGGCCTCGATGATGGGAGAAATGGCACGCTGTACTGCACCAGAAAGCGAGCGTGTGGCCCGTCCTCGCTTACGGAACTGTCCTTTGTTCCTTTTGAGTACTCCTCCTCCTCCTCGCCGTGTGCCGTCACCTCCGAGAGTACTCTACCAACTAACGTTACCACCGCAACAGAACCCGGTGACTCCAGTCGAGGGAGCGCAGAGAGCCTTGCTGAAGAATCCTTCGCTGGGGTGAAGTGCTGCGGCGACTTCTCCTGGATCAACTCCGCTGTGGAGAGATGAAGTGCCGCAGGTGGGGAAGCGGTGTATCGGGCATGGCGCCGCACCTCCTCCGCTTTCACCTCCTCCTTCTCCGCCATTGCAGCTTGTTCCATCGCCTCCTGCACTTGGCGTAGAAGTTGCTCCTGCTTAGACAGCTCCGCCCGTAACTCTGCCTCTTCCTCCGCAGGAGCGGACGTCTCCATCGGACCAGCGGCACCACTACTGCTGCCAACAACTCTTCCCTTCGACGACGCTGCAGTCTGCGCCTTGGACTGGCTCGGTCTCTGTGTGATGTCGCACACACTTAGCTCCGAGAAGATGTCATCGAGAAGGGAATCGCTGTTGAAACGCCTGGCAAGTCCCAAAGAAACCACCCTCCAGGGTAGAACTCTGCGCATACCCCTGCTCTCTCCCAGAAAAAAAAAGGGAAAACAAATAAGAAAGGGTGTGGGTTAAGAAGAAAAGGCAGCAAAGGTGAAAGTAAGCAGAGAAGTGCGGCGAGACGGAGGAGGATGAATGGGGGAAAATAGCAGCAGCACCTGTTCCTCCTGCCCACCTTCTGCCGCCGTCTCACAAGAGTGGGGCAGAAGGAGGGGGAGAAAGGAAAGACTAAAAAAAGCAACGATAACGTGAAATATGAAAAATGAACAGACTATTTCTCGATGATCCTCAGTGAGATCCTCGCGTCTGTCTCCCATGCATACAGCTTCATTGCACGGTTTTCCTTGCGCAATTTTTCGTTTACATGCGCGAGCTCCAACTTCTTGACCTCCAAGTCACGATAAGCATGTTTCAACTCTTTTAAAGCATTGTAGTCGCTTATGCAGGTGACCAACTCTTTCTTAAGCGACTCATTGACCGCTTTCAAGTGTTGATGGTCTTCTTCCAAGACCGCACTCTCATGTCTCACAATGGCAGAAAAGCTTCCTGGAGCCTCACATCGCTCCTCAGAGACGTCCGCGGCCTCGTCGTTGTTGTAAGCATTCCCCTGTAGTTTCACAGAGTCCCTGTATTGGCGTGCCGCTTCCGTCTCTTCCACCAGGCGCTCATACGTGCGGTATTTGTTTTTCCACACTTCTACTTCGTCTCGTAGCTGCTGCAGATGTTCGGCAGAGTCTGTGCCAGTCGCACTTAAGTCCCGCTTCACCGCAGTGTGTGCTTCCCCAAACCGGATGTCCTGTTGACGTCGACTATGAGCATGATCAAAAGCGGCACGGCTCAAGCCGGACCAAATCGTGCAGAGACACAGATCACAGCGGTCGACTACAGCTCTTGCCGCAGTTAGGATAAGTTGCGGGTGGCGGGTGTCGTCTGCACCTTCTTCCGAGTCAAAGGATTCGGTGTCATCGCCATTATCGTTCTTTTCCGGCAAATCACCCAAGAGAGTACAGCTGTTCACCGCCACGCTTATCTTCCCCAACTCGTGAAGTACCCGGCGAGAGCACGCGGCGAGACAATCCATCGATGTTTCTGCCGTCTCGATGACAGCCTCGTTGCACCGTAATTTATTTACTTCCTTTTCAACTTCCGTCAGCTGTTCAAGGAGCGAAAAATCATCGCCTTTATTGGCATTGTCTTCCCCAAGTTCAGTGAGGTCGCTTTCCTTTGTGGCAATCTGGTGTTGCAGAGAATTCACCTGCATTTCCTCCTCGTGGAGTCTCTGCTGAAGCTCACTGTAGCGTTCGCTCATCTCCTCCACCACACGATTGACTCCCTTCTCGCGCACCTCAGCACGGTGTATCTCTTCGGAGAGATTTGATAGCTGCATCGATACACGCTCTGCCTCTGCAACTCCGCGCTCCAGCCACTCATGCATTGCTCTCTTTTCTTCCTTGACTTTTTCAATATCTTGCAGAAGTGACTGCAGTGTCACCACCCTGTTTACTGGAACTACACTCTGTGAGCGAAGATGTTTCAGTGTCTTTTCCATCTCCCCACATTTAACAGTCTCCGCGATTATTTCGCGTTCCAAGTCTTTCATCTCATTCCTCTCACAAATGCTACTTGATCGGTTCATCCCGCCTGTTCCAGACCGTGGGTCCTGTTTCTACACTTTATGAGAGTAAAAGATTTTTTTTAAAAAACAGACAGGCATTATACAACACCAGCTTTCTTCTGTATTATTGCATATCTGTTAATGGTCACGTAAGAGGGGCTTTCATGTGCATCCACATATTTGCACAAGCATGCATCAACGAATGTGACAAGAAAAGTCCTTTACTTGGGAAGCAACCCAGCCTTGACGTAGTCAAGGCGTTGCTTCTTCGTCAGCATCTGCTCGTCTATAAGGTCCATGCGAGGCTTTGTCAGTGTGTTCATCTCCTTCCCTATGTTCCAGCGTGACGGGCTGTTGAACTCAAATACAGACGGAAAAGACTTTACGCGCACCTTCGCCCCGCTAGTGGCATGCTGCAAGGTGTATACTTGCCGCTTTGATACAAAGAACTTCCCCGTCCAGTCACCGGTGATGTAATTCTCCTCCGGCAGGAAGAGTGTCTGGCTCTTCGCCGTCATAAAGCTCCAAAAGTATGGCGCACTCAAATTCATTGAGTGTGTGTTTTTGATATGCGGCCTGCGGTGCAACGGATACTTCCGCTGCCCGCGGCGCGCCAAGTAGAAGCCAAACGCTGACTTTGCTATTTTCAGAAAACGCTTCTGGGTGCTGGCAAATGCGCCGGCCACCATCGCGGTGTTGGTCGCCACGCGAGGTGCGACTTGCCAGCAGCGGCGCAACATGAATTTACCGTCCTACTACGAAAATCGCCTACGCAAAAAGGGGGGGGATAAGAATAAAAGCAGACTAGTAGCATATATATATATATATATTTGCATATGGAGCACACAAAACCCGCTTGGAATCGTCAGAGAAAGACTGCACCAAAACTTTTAAAAAAGCACACCGTATCAAAGACAACAAAATAGGGACACAAATGGCGTACTGCGGGTATAATACAACATTGACCCTCAATCCTAAGAGGGTAATACAGGCGATAGATTTTTTTGTGTATTTCCCCTCCCTCCCGGAGCAACGATACGAAAAAAAAAACGTCAGTGAAACGGAAACAATGACGAACACTTAATTGTCAGCGTGCCCTACAAAAATAATAATCAGATTTCGCTTTAATGACGACTAGTCGAGTGATGCATGGTCATTTTTCATCAAAGTCACAATCCGACAAAACAAAACAACACAAACAACTCTTTTTTATTCTTCTGTTTTTTTTTTCTTTTCTGGTATTCACTCGTGTCACTTTTCACGCAATCTCAAAGGCAAGTTAATGAGGGCTTCCTCAATCTCCCTCGCCTTTGGGTCACTGAGGCTAGACGCGATCTTCTGCTGTGCCATGATGACGGCAGGGTCGGCCTTGTATCGACTCAGAATTGTTTGCTGTCCCGTCGCAAAGCTCTCCCTTTTAATGGAAGCTCCTGTCAGCGCAAGATCCTGATACTGCACTTTTGCTCCACGGAAGTATCGTTTACACGTGGAAGTAATCTCGTAGTGGATGGCTTCCAACACCTCATTGCATGCAGCAAAGGCCTCATTGGAATCGGCGTGACGCCCAGTTATGCCGATGTACAAACACTGTCCCTCGTGTTTCATGATGCCGCGGAGAGGGATGTTTGTTTGCGATGCAGCATCCTTCACCACCTTGGAGCCGAAAATGCCATACTTCAGCCGCGTCTTTTCAAGCACAAGGAAGGACGCATCCTTCCAGTTCATCAGCAAGTGGCGTGGGTCTTTCGAAGGGACATGCGAAAATGGGATTAGCCGCGCCTGAATACAAGCAAAGAGTGCCGACGGAAGCGCGTTGAATTTGTACTGTCTCGCCACACCATCCCCATTGCAGGAGATCATGTATGATAAGTAGTAACTCAGGCAATCTGATATGCGAGCCGAGAAGTGAGGTGGCGATATCATGGCAACTTCAGCTTTTAGTGAAAGTCCCAAACCCATAACACAGTACAACTCCTGCATTGTTCTCACATCATTGCCCAGTTGCGGCAACAACTTTGTACCAACTACCTGAGTGACATCAGCCGTCAAAATGCCCTGACCCCACGTCGTCTGGCAACGGCTTAACCCAGAGTAATCGAACAGCATGACCTCCCGATCTTTCAGGAATGACGATCCATTCGGTATTTTCGTCAGAGAACTTGGGCATATGAATGTTGAGAAATTAGTTAGTAGCCGAAAAAAGTCCAAAACAATGACACCGTTATGCGGGAGTGGTTTAGAGCCACCCACACGCGGCAGGTACTTCGGCTCAATGATAGCGCTAGGAAGAGCCACGACAACTCCACGAGAAAATAACTCTCTGACCACGTAGTTTTCGCAGAAAATGCCATAGCTTGTCGCCGAATCCAACGACAAATGCTCAGAGATTAAACGTCTAAGCTCCTTCTCTTGGAATCCCCATCGGACTTTTTGTTCACGATATAAAGCGGTGACGAGGGTAACAATCCCCTGACGCATACGCTGGTGGGCCTGCACCAGATGCGACGTCTTTTCGGCAGAGCTCTCAAGCATTTCATCTCCAAGCATGTAGCTGAGATGGGATGCAGTGTCTTTGGTTGAGGGCAAAAAACTACTTGGGCGGTTCGAATAAAGTTGTGTTGCAATCGTACCCAAGTAATTGTTCAAATCCTTAAATGTCTTCGGTCCCTGATCCTTCTTTGTGCTCACCACCGACCAGTCTTTTGCGCTCACAGCAAAGTTGCCAACACAAACGAGGCCACGATTGTCGTCACCTCTTAGACGAAAGAAAGTATCGCCAAGGAGAACAGCAACTCTGTTAATATGGATAAGCACGGTCGATTCACGAGAATCTTTAAGTGCATCCTTTCTTGTACCAATCAGACAGAATCCAATCTTGGCTGCATCTCCCCCAATATCCTTGGAGTAGGCTCGATGGCACGCTGCGTGTAGTAGTGTAAGTTGCTTCTCCAGTTCCTGTTTAACGTCTTCAATGGGTTTCGTGAGATCATAAACCAAGCAGTACACTACATTTTTCGAGGGCAAGAGATACGGTGGCATACCACGCCAAAAGGCAGTATCACTTGGAAAGTCCAGCAAATCAATATGAATTTTAGCAGGATCACTGACGCCACTCCTGGAACTCTTAGAAATACCGATGCTACTGAAGAAACCACCTGAATGTTGTTGCTGTGGTGCATCCAGATCAAGAAATTGAACGTATGTTTTGTACCAGTCGTTCCTCAAGCAATATGCATCATCCACAGTGACAGAAGAGAGAGTTGGATGAACTGTTGGAGTGAGAACATCTGGTGTACTTCGAATCATTGGTGTAGAAGAAGCCGAGAGACATTTTACGACGCTGGATTTGCCTCCATTAGGAGCACCGATCACAAAAAATCTGTATTTCAGCATTCGTCTATATTCGTCTAGATCAGTAGTCAATGATCCAAGAATGACTTTATGCATGCTTTGAATCGCCTGAGTTCCGGGGTAATACGGAATCTTCAAAGCAGCCTTAATGAAAGCCGAAATACCCTCGCTATCTCCAAAAACGTCAATCACCTTGTCATCTTCATCATCATCTTCTTCAACCTGATGAGAGGCCAGAGCTAGTTCAGCTTTCATTTTAAAAACTTCACCTTCTAGCTGCTTTTTAGCTTGCTTCAACTCATCGTTTTCGTTCTTCAACTGAAGAATTTGTGCAGGATTAAGCCTTCTATCCCCTTTCGCCTCCTCAGATTCCTTCTCTTTGGAAAGGGCATCTTTCTCCGTGCGGACATACGCCAGTTCAGCGCGCAATTCTTTGATGGTTGCCATCATATCCTGAATTCGTTTGTTGGCATCACCTGGAATCATTGCAGATCCTGACTTAACGCCATTACTTGGACGAGGAGCTGGTCGTGCTCCCAATGACTGAACTTGTTTCGTTAGCATTTCGATATACGCAGTGAGTTCTTTATTTTCTTGCTCTACGGTTTCCTTTTGAGCTTGGTACGACTGCTTAATGACAAGGTGGTTCTTCTTCAACTTGTTTTGTACGTCAGCTGAAGTCTTTCGAATGTTATCGATTTCCTCTTCATACGAAGCTACAAGAGTATCCTTATGAGACTGTATCTCGCGTTCCATCCTCCTTTTCACATCCTCGTACATGGTCTTGTAACGGTTTATCTCATCATTGTGTAATTCTTCCATTTCTGAGATACGAAGCTGCATATTTTCTTCATACATCGACCTTACAATCTCGATACGTCGTTCAAACTCCTTCTTGAACTCGGGATTTGTGGGAGATCCTGATAGTGCCGCAAGGCCCTCACCCTCCAGCTGCACTCTTAGCTCGTTCATTTCCATCGACACACGTCGTGCTTCGGATTCAGCCTCCTTCGCTTTCGATCGGTACTTTTCCTTCTCTATTCTTTCCTGTGCGAGTTGGCGTTGGAGCTCACCCATATCCTTGTTCATGTTGGAAGTTGATACAGCATTCTCATTCATCATCATTTTTTGCTCCCTCTCCAAAGACTCTTTCAGCTCCTGTTCATGTCGCTCTTCGAGTGCCTGGCGCTGCTGATACTGTTGCTCCTCCATCAATCGATTCTCCTCTTCGTTCGAACGAATAAGCTCCTCGATTTTCTCTTTTGATGCACCTGACGCAAGCAATTCATTCAATTGATCCTGCTGAAGCCTCTTGATCCTCGCCCACTCTGCTTGGAACGCTGCTTCTGCTTCCTCACGCTCCAGTTGCCGTTGTGTTGCCTCAACTTCCAGAGTGTTAATGCGGCCCTCCGCGGCAGCCAGCAACTCTTGCAATTTCGCAGCTAACTTCTTGTAGTCAATGTTAACCGCCAGTTTGGCATTGGTTTTTACTGCCATGGCGCGAGATCCAAAATAGAGTGTTCCAAGCGTTTCATATAAATGTTCACTACTTGGCCCCGCTGTGAGTATAATACTGCATTTTGCTCGCCCACCAATAGCATCCTCAAGCATACGCGTTAACTTCGCATTGCGCCACGGAACGTGCTCTGAACGGTCGGATAAGGCTTGTACAACATTTCCAAGTGAAAGAAGAGACGCATTAATAGTCTTTGCCTCTAAAGCCATTTGTCCTTCTTGAACCCCTGTTTTACTGAAGCGTTCGTACCCAGCAAGATCGATAAGGAACAATTTTCCATTTCGAACCTCGCCACCTGGGTCGTCTTTGGGCACAGATCTCACCTGAATAAACAAAGCTGCATGTCCTCGTGAGCTTTCAGGATTCATTTTTGTGGCAGTGACAACTCGATATTGATTACCATCTTCATAAAGACGACGAAAGTCTTCTTCATCCTTTACAGCATGCTCTACAATTCCGGGGAAACTTACACCGTTTTTGTCCCTATTAATCTTCAGCTCCGGAGCCTCAGGATTGAACAAGTCTTGCAATTTGTCGACATATATCTGAATAAATGAAAACACAATGGTGTAGATTCGCTCAGGATCATTCTGCACAGTATCAAAAATGGCTTTCATTGAACGAGGAATAATACCCAGATGAGCCGGACTGAAGTTACACATGGTGAAAGACTTCCCGGTTCCGGTTTGGCCATAAACCATCACTGTACCCCAGTAACCCTTAAAGACGTTATTAATAACGGGTTCAGCCACACGAACATAGATATCTCCTTGATCTACATCGCCATTAAAGACGTAGTCGTAGCTATACGTTTTCGCTTCCAATATGCATGTCTTATTGTCAGGTTGAATGTCAAGTAGGTAATGAGTCCCACTTGCAGGATCGATTTCATCTTTCCTTGCAGGGCGAATGCGAAGAAAAACCATAATACGGTTGGGTCCATCGCCCTTATTTTCTTCGTCGCCCATAATTTCGATAACAGATAGACAACACTACAACACTACTTAATAACTATAGCAAATATTAGAAACACCTAAACCAGGTAAAAAAAAAAAACAAGAGATGCTTCTCTAATAGGCATATAGCCTGTTGCCAAAAAAAAACCATGCAGTATTAACCCACACTCGTGTATTGTCCCACAGGTAAGCCAAATGAGCACCAATTCAACAACTTGAACCAAGACTGATGTAGAAGATCACAGTAGCCCCTCGCAACATCTGCTCCATAGGAGGATATATCGACCAGCCAAAAAGTCATTCAGGCGTAGTGGTCAACGTCAAGCACGCACCATACTGGGCACAGTCACCAGAGTGCTCAACAACACGGAAGTCACAACGAGAAAAACGTCTTACAGCAGCAAGCAGAAAAAATAGGAGCACGGCCCCTAAGCATATTTGTTTAAGTGTATGCCTACCTATTTAGCAAAAGAAAAAGGTATAAGGAAAAAATAGAGCTTCCATCGAACAACAAGCCATGCAAAAAAGTCCAACTATCCTAGCAGATCGTCCCCCACCATAGCGGCAATAAACACAGCAGGCCGCTGGCAGTAGAGAGGCAAAATATACGTTATATTTCATGTGAAGACAAATGTATTGACCTTTTTTTCTGGCTTGTTCTGTTTTCTTGTGCTTTTACCTCAACTATTTGTTTTTTTTCTTCTGCATGGTCATTCATTTGGAGAAAAAATCGCCTGCTAGACCACCTCCATTTCTTTTCGTCTTCGTTTTCTCCTTCTCCTAGTCTTCACTCGATACACCAACCTGTGGTGCCCGAAGAATACGCTCTCTGATCTTATATCCGGTTTTCAACACCTTGGAGATATGCCCACTGGGAGCTTCCGCCGTCGGTGGAGTTTTAAGAAGAGCATCATGGTGGTTTGGATCGAAGACGGAACCTACCTTGACATCCATTCTTTCGATTCCATATTTCGCCAAATTGTTCAGCAAAACCTTTTCTGACAACTTCACACCGGTATGGATAGAACTGAGACTCTTGCTCTCCAGTTCCTCGACTGGAACATTTGCCATTGCCTCAAGACCTTTTTCAAGAATATCCACAACTTCTAGCATGTCTTTGCCAAAGGACGAAATTCCGTACGCCTTGGCCTTCTCGACATCCTCACGGCCAATGCGACGAGCATTCTCAGCATCTGCTGCACGGTAGAGGGTTTCCCTTTTTAGTTCAGATATATCTTCCCTTGCCTTCTCAAGTTCCTTTTCCAGTTTTGCAAAAACTTCCTGGGTCAGTGGAGCGGTCTCTTTTGCTTGTTTAGCATCACCCTTTTCTGTCTCTGCCGTCTGATTCTCCTTTGGAGGCTCTGTCGAGGCCCAGCACCGGCTGGTGGTTATAGTGGCAAGAACTCCTCTCCCGAAAACAGAGCCAGTCCGTAACGATAAGGCGCGCATTAGCTGGTGTTTCCTGCTTTTTCGCTTTCTACACCCCAAAAAGAAACAAAGAGAACAGAAAGCGAAACAATAAGGCCAATCAAATCATGCAGCTCATTTTTTGAAGTGCAGATACAAATAGCGTACGAACCTGAAAATAAACAAACTACGGTGGTAATAAAGTATCCAATTCACTCATATCAACGGCCGTCATGAGGGATTCTCGTCGCAGAAAACACCACGCAAAACGGAAATGACGCATTTGTTCTTTGGAAACGAAATCAACATTGCGAATCCCAACATCTGTGCGCTTAAGAAATGCAGGAATGGAAGTCAAAAACGCATAGTTAAAAGTCTGTAATGAAATGTTGCTAAACAAGGGAGTCCGCACGCCCGTCTTGGTCTCAGTAACACAGACATCCACCGAGGTTCCACGACAGTTGTGCTGAGCCAGTATTGGAAGAATAGGCTCATCCCACACTGGACCGAGCGCATTTTTCGAGGCAATCCGTTTTTTGGCATCGACGCAAAAACGGTACTCTTTGCCATCCAGATCGCAAAATTCCACAGAAGAATTGTTCAAAGATCCCTGCGTAAGACCCCCACAGCACTCAAAAAACTGAGCAATAGGGGCACATCCTGAAGATCCTTTTAAGACACATAAAAC